ACTCTAGTTTCTTTCACTTTTTTAACATATAATAGACTAAGTTCCATTTTATCTTTATGTCTAATTTAGGTGCTAAATACTTGATATTTTTTGCTTTACATAAATATTTTAAGGCCTCTCTTGTAGGTTAAAAAGACTTGAGATAGTTCATTAATAATCTTATTTTTTCAATTGATACATCAACTAGTTTAATTCTCTTTATAACTACTAAATTTAACATGTATGCAAAACAGCGATAATGAGTGAAATTTAAATTATTAAATTCATTTTCTAACTTTGCTGTTATTAATTTACTACATGAAATCATTAATGCTGCATTGTTGGTTGTTAAAGCAAGAGTTTTTGCAGCCAAGTCAAATTCATAAAAAACTAACATAATAGTATTTGCCATATTAAGTTTAGTATGGTATATAGTATTGAAATTATGTCAAGAAGAAAATTATATAATATTTACAAAGTAGCAATATAGTGGATAGTTAGACTTAGAAAAGCAGACCCATTCAATACTATTCACATATTAGCTGTAAAGGCAACCTTTCCTGGAATTTTATTAAATACTGATTTTATTTCTTTTTTTTTTTCTTGATAAAGTATTGTAACACAGCTACTTATAGTATGACAATTACAAAATCTATACTTTGGATCAAGTTTAGAAATCATTTGTCTCCATTCTTCACTTTCTATAGTATTAAATAGTTCCAGATCACAAATTATCTAGTAAAGAATATCTTTGTCTCGTTTTTGCTGCTCAAATTCATTATGAAAATTATTATTTGGACTATTTACAAAATTTATAAATTAGATTAATTTTTTTAAAAAAAACCTTCAACATACACCCTATAGTATTAAAAAAAAAACTATTTAATTAATAATTAATTTTATTTTTACCTATTTTTAATTATTTGCCCTTGTGTAGATGCACTCAGTGTTGTCAATAGACAGCTTTCGGCAGTAGTTTGGACAATTTTGGACAATTAAATAAAATCAAATTACTTAAAATTTTATTAAGACAATCTATTTTAATTTTAACTGTAATGTGTTTAGCACCCCCAAAAATATATAATTATATATTTTTAGACAAATTTATTAATTATTAAAGCCTGTATAAGCTTTGGACACTTGGACACTTTGGACATGGACAAGGCCAAAAAAGGCCTTGGACAGCCAAAATGTACAACACTGGGTGCACTTATTCCATATAAATTCAAATGCCTTTTTAAGGTTGATGTTGCAGTATCAGGAGCAAAATTGGTTTTGTACTTCTTACATTTAGGATTGTTTGGGTCATTAGTATTAAAGTGTAGCCAAACTATTAATTTTTTTTTTTTGGTTATTATGGCTATTAATAATATCAATATTTATTTTATTAGAATTACTATTATATACTTCAAAACATTGAGAAATATCAGAAGATAGAAGAGAGAAATTTTTATCATTACTTATAGTTGAAAAGGGTTGTAAAAATTTATTATTATTATTATTATTATTGCATTTTATTTTCTTTAATTAATAATCCATTTGTCACCTAGAGAGGATCTGCAAAATTTTATAAGTAAAATTTACTATTGATAGAAATGTAGCAAGCCTAAATCTAAAACTTTCTTTTTTACTAAAACAATCAATCTTGTCAATTAATTGAAAGTTGTAGAGCTTATCAAGATACATCTAATGGTAGTAAAAGCATCAAATCAGTTTAGTGGTTCTTGAAATATCTTTAAAAAACATCTCACACATATATAAAATTTTTTTTAAAAAAGAAGCCTTTTTTTAAAGAAATTTTATATATGCACAAGATATTTTTTAAAGAGATTTTAATGCTTTTACCACTATTAGATATGTTTGATGAGCTTTACAACTTTCAATTAATTGACAAGATTGATTGGTTTAGTAAAAAAAAAAGTTTTAGATTTAGGCTTGCCATATTTCTGTTAATAGTAAACTTTACTTATAAAATTTTGCAGATTCACTCCAAATGACAAATAGATTATCAATTAAATTAATTTATCATTTTTTTTATCAGTAAGTATTAGTAATCATCAGACCATAATCAGGACCAGAAGTGGACTATTCAGGACTGAGGACCAAATGATTTTTAGTCTTCAGTCTTTTACAGTTTGGTCCCGGTCTTTATGAAGACTGATCTATCCTTAGAGATATCCAATATCTATTAATAAAACTTTAAAATATTATAGCTTTTTTAAAACAAGCCAAAAGTTGTTAAATTTTATATATTTTATATATTTTAAAATAGTATAAAAGATGAAATTTGATTGGTCAATAGGTTATTACTAGAAGAGAGAGTATATAATCTATGTAATTACGTAATTTACTATATTTTTCTAATATAATACAAATTACTATATAAATTCTATAAATTAGAAATCTTGCAGCCTGTCTATAAAAAACTTTTTTTTATTAAGTTAATCACTTTTTATTCTTAAGTAGGAATTATAAAGCTTATTGAGACAAATCTAATAGTAGTTAGAACATTGAAATTGGCCTAGTAAATGCTGAGATATCTTTGAAAAACAATTGGCTGATTATATAAAATTCTATGTAAACAAACTATTGTTTACATAAAAATTTTATATAGTTGGCCAATCATTTTTCAAATATATCTTGCCAATTTTAATATTCTAACCACTATTAAGTTTGTTTAATAAGCTTTACAATTCCTATATAAGAAAAAGAAGTGATTAATTTAATAAAAAAAAAGTTTTCTTTAAGCAGACTACAAGATTCCTAACTTGTAAGATTTATATAGTAATTTGTTTATCATATTATACTATAATCATACTACTAGTTTGTAGCAGATTATCAATTAAAAAACCTTTCTTTTACTATGTAAATTTCTTTGTGAATAATACTATTGTTTGCAAAGAAATATAGTAAAAAAAAGGTTTTTTAAAGATATCTCAGCATCTACTAGACTGATTTTGATATTCTAACTACCATTAGATGCATCTTGACAAGCTTTACAAAAGTTTCTTAAATTAGAAAATAATTAACTTAGTATAAAAAAAGTTTTAGATTTGTGCAGGCCATATTCACAATCCTCTAATTTTTATAAGTAATCTGAGTTATATTTTACTATAATCACTCTTTGGCTGACTTGTGAATTACCAATTAATAAAAAAAATTTTTAATATATAGTAATTATAAGGCCATACAAAATTAATTAATTGGTTTACATTACCTGGCCAGGTCAAAATTTGAGAATTTTAGAAAAAATTTTTTATATGTTTTAATAATCAAGTGGAGATTTAAAAAAAATTTTATATAAATTTTATAAAATTTTATATATAAAATGTAAAAAAAAAAGCCAGCCAGCCAGGTCTATTTAAAAGTTTTATGTTATAAAAACCAAGTAATTAAATTTGTATAGCCTAATAACTAATTTTTAAAATTACTAATTTCATACAAGTATAACATTATACAAAATTATATAACTTTAATTAAAAAAACTACTATATAGAATTTTGCAAACTTTTTTCTTTAATTGATAATCTGCTAGTTACCAGGTGCAATGATTATAGTATAATGTAATGCAAATCACTATGTAAATTATATAAAAAGGAAATGCACAAAGATTTTTTAACAATTTTTCAAGTAAAACTTTTTTTGTACTAAGTTAATCAATCTTGTCAATTAAGTAAAAGTTGTAAAGCTTTTCAAAACACATCTAATAGTAGTTAAATTATCTAAATCAGCCCAGTGGTTCGCAAAATATCGGTAGAAAACAATTGGTTGACTATATAAAATCTCTATGTTTACATAGAGATTTTATATAGTTAGCTAATTGTTTTCTAGTAATATTTTACAAACTACTGGGCCAATTTGGATAATTTAACTACTATTAGATGCGTCTCGAAGAGCTTTACAACTTTTACTTAATTGACAAGATCAATTAACTTAGTACAAAAAACCATTTTAGATACTGCACTCCACTTTTCAAAAACTCTAATTTCTATAAATAATCTGCATCATGTTACACTATAACAGATTATCAATAAAAGATATAGATTTAAAGAATTTATAATTTAATTTTTAGCTTAATATTTTATATATTAAGCTTTGTACAACTTTTTAAAAAGTGTCTATAATCATATAGTAAGGTATTGTATTTTTAAATTATTACAAAATTTTATTATTAAAATAATAGGACTTTTTTAATAAGTCAAATCTATTTATAAATTAACTCTTTTTAATAATCACTTGTATTAAAATTTTCTACCAAAAAAAACACAACTTTTGTTAAAAAATATAGCCTAATATAGTAGTTTGTTAAAGGTCAATATTTTTTCTTTTCTGAAACTTCTTTATAAATAATATTTAGTATATAAACCAAGAGTATTGTTATACAAAATATAGTCAAACCTTTATAAATGTAATCTCTATAAATGCAATACCTCTAAATGCATATTTTTGGCCTAGCTATAAGAAATAATTAGTGCTAAATACATGTTCTATATTCTGCAAATGCACGTTCACTCAAAAGATTTTCTATATCATACTAATCTCCCTAAATGCACGTAGCCAATCAGAATTCAGTATTCAAGTTGTGTTATACAAGCCTGCAGATTAAACATTAAAAGCTGCAATTTGATTGGCTTTCTCTAAATACAAACCTCTCTAAATGCACGATTGAAGCTAGTCTGTATGCAGTACACTTATGGAGGTTTGACTATATCTTTAAGTCTTATTTTGGTAAGGTCTTCAATGAGATCTGGATTATTTATCCTAACTATCCATTTGGAAATTATGTATTCTATATGCCGTTGCTATAAAGAGTTAATTTCCCAAATATTTTTTTGTATCAGGATTGTGTTAAAAATAGTTGAGACCATTTTTGCTTTCTATTTTGCTATCTTTATAACTAGTTGATGAAATATTAAATTATATTAAATATTTAAATTTATATAATGATCTATATTATGCATATTGTTTACTTGTTTATATTTTTTTAACTAATCAAATCAAATATCTGTCATGCTTATTATATGGCAGATCTAGAGTTTAAATCTCAAGAAGAATGGTTAAAAGATATTATTTTAAATGATAGTTTGTATTTGGCAATAATTATTGTATTGATTAAAAAATAAAAAACTTTGTAATATATAGTACTTGTATATCTTAAAGATCAGATAATTAGAGATTGTTTAAAAAGACTCAAATAAGAAGTAATAAAAATTTTTGATGATACTACAGGAAAACCCAATTTAAAAATAGTAATCAAAATTAAAAAACCAAACAAAAAAAGATTTCAAAATAGGTAGATTTACTAACTGAACTGCTAGTTTTAGATATATCAGAAAAAAGAATTTATTCTCTGGTTTTTATTTATACTTCCATACTATCTTTTCATGCTTATTACCCAGATTTCAGATTTGGGCAGATCTGGAATTTTTAAATTCTCTAAACTGGGCCAAATAATTTTTTTAAACCTTAACTATAAAAATTGTTAGAATGCTATCAAATATTTTATTTAAGCCATTATGCTTAAAATTGTTCAAACTGGATTAATTATTTAAAAAGTGTTATTTGAATCGTAATTATGAAAAAGATATTTTTTAAGACTGTAAGCAACAAGTAGCAATAACTTTAATAAATTTTAATTTGCGCAAGCTATATTATATAATAGTATATTTATATATTATATCTATTATTTAAAGATAATTGTAACATTTCTAGAATTATAAAATTCAAAAATATTTGCATTTCTATTTTTTGTCATTACAATATTCTGAGTTTGATCTTGAAGTGTTTGTAATGGTGAACAAAATAGTCTTGCTAATTTTAATTGAATTTCTTCCTCAGTTAATTTTGATATATTTTTTTTAATCTTAGTATTTTTAAATTCTATTAAATTATATAGTTTTCTTTGAATTGGAACTTGAGATTTATTTTGAATTGGAACTTGTAATTCATCTTGGGTTGGAACTTGAAATTTATCTTGGGTTGGTACTTGAGATTTGTCTTTGATCAGAACTTGAGATTTTTTTTGAGTTAGAATGTAAAATTCTTTCTGAGTTAAAACTTGTAACTCTTTTTGAATTATAACTTGGGCTAAAGTTTGAGATTCTTGAATTGTATTAATTAATATCATAATATTTTTTAATCATTGCTCATTACTAGAAACTTTGTAGGCTCATAATCCATTAACTAAATGATGGCCTGAAAATTCTATCATTGTATGTTCATTTATATTAAGATTAGATAAGAGCTAAATAGCTGTTCTTCTTCCCAAATAGTTAGTAATATGCTGATTAGTAATATTAATTTTAAAAGCTTGTGCAATATCGTTCATCATATTAGCCAATGTATGTTTTCCAAGTCCAGTTTTAAGAAACCAATTTTTATCTTAAATTTCTTGTAAATTTCTTGTTAATTGCAAATAAAACTTTTTATATGTATTCAAAAGATATAAATTTATATAATTTTGAAGATCTTGAACAGGTTTGTATTCATTATTTGATAAATCTGCAGGAATATATATACATTAGCTAGAAAATTTTTCATATTTGTTATGACCTTTAAGTCCACCCTGATTATTCTTCTTATGCCCAATTGTAAAAATCAAGCTCTATCTGGTTTAAACTCAAATAAACTTAAGAGAAGTCTATAATAATCACTACCATATAATCTTAATAAATATGCATTCCAAAAAAATAAGTCATAATGCTGTTTGGTTATTTGAATTAAGATATGCTAAAATTTGACTAATCTCTTCCTTTGTTAACCTCTTTGATTGATCTACTTCACCAAACCCTTGATCTTGTAATTCCATATATTTTTCATCTACAACTTGGTACAAGATTGGAAATTGAAATCGATTATTAATATTAATATTTTTAATTAAAAATGTTTCAAATAAAAAACATTGAATAGAAGTGTAGGCTATACAATCGATTTAGCTTTGTATAGTTTTCTATTCTGTTACTTAATATCAACAAAAAATTCATATAGCTTATGTTCAAGTTGTTCTTTATCTGTCAATATTTGAATATCATAAGATATATTTTTTTCTTGCAATAATCTTGTAAAATTTGAACCTACTTTTGTGTACAGACATCAGTATTTTTAATTTTAGATTTTTTTAAATATCATTAAATATTGTTTTCAGTTGTAATAATACTTTCATGTTCTTCTGTTGTATTCAAAATAGTGTTCTCTTCAATTAGTTCACTGGCAAAAATAAAACTTGATATGATAAAAGTTTTTTTTTTATTTGGTAAAAGAGTTTTTATTTTTTATATCAAATTCTTTTTTATATAAAGTTAAAATTGTATGAATTATATCACTTTTAATTGAAGAGATAGTATAGAAGTATAATAAGAATCTGGGAATAAATCAGTTATTGTCCATGAATTGGACATAACCAAGAATCAATTCCAGATCAGATGATCAGATAATAATGAAATGGCTACTGGCTATAAAGCAGCCAGTGTGCCATTCCATTATTATTCGATCATCTGATCTGGGATTGATTCTTGGTTATTGCCCACTTCATGGACAATAACATATATATGCTTCAAAAATAAGTATCAAAAAAAGACAGGCTAAAAAGCACCTAAAGCTAGGCCAATATTGATCTTTCTGAGTTGTATAGCTGAAAGTAAAGAATAAACCAGTAAAGAATTTATGAAAAAAAAAAATCTAAATATGAATATTAGAGTTGAAGTAAATATTACAAAAGCAGAAGATATATATTGCTTGAGAAAACTAGACTTACTAGTATATAAGTTAAACTATAGTATAATATTTCTAAATCTAATTTGGAACATAAAATAAATACAAAATAAGTTGGGGTGGCACAGCTGCCATGCCCACTTTGAGGTAATATTACTGTAATACCCTAGCATCTAGAAGAAAGCAGTTTAAAGAGTTATTTATCTTTATTTAATAAATTCTTATTTAATTCATTGTCCACCTAAGAACCAGTGACAAAACATAATAAAAGATGATAATCTTTACTATTGTCTTTGGAATCTGGAGTTTTTCAAAAAAAAACCTTTTTCTCTACTAAACAAATCTCTTTTCAACTTCTAAGTTATAAAGTTTTATTATAGTTTATATTTTGATGATTAAAAATTTTGAACAATAATATCTTAACACTTACCAATAAAATTGATAAACTTTTTTTGAATTTTACTGTAAATTCGAATAAAAAATTTTATCAAATTTCATTGGGTAGATCAAAGTCATAATAAATTTTACAACTTACATTTTGAGAGATATTTGAAATTTTTTTAAAAATTTAATTGAGGATATTTCAACACCCATCAAACAAAACTCAATGGTCTTTTTTATTTTAATTCTACAGATCAATATAATTCCAATAAAAAAAGTTTATCGAATTTTCGTTATGTGGTTGTCGGATCAAAGCCACGAAAATTTTGCAGCAGCTTATATTTTGATAGACGGTTATAATTTGATTGAAGATATCTCGAAAAAGCTCAACAAAATTCGATGGATTTTTTTTATTTATTTATTTGAATTCTAAGTAAAATTCAAATAAAAAAAAGTTTATCGAATTTCATTAGCCGGTAGTCGATCAAGGAGTGATATGCATGGATGTGAAAATATCAGTTTTTATTAGTATAAGAATAAAAATTTATTGTCGTTTAAAGCAAAATAAAAAATATAATGTTTTTATAACAAAAAAAATTATAATAAAAAAAATTTTTTTATTTTAATAGTATTTGAGGCCATACATAGTTGATCTTTTGGTTCTCATAGCATAAAATTTTAAAAATGACCTGGCAACTCGGCCTTTATTTTATTTCAAAAAAAATTTATATACAAAGATTTTTTTATAGGCTCTAAAAAATCCACCCAGATAGTAAATATAGTCAAAAAATTATTCCAAATTTTGCAGAAAAATTTGACTCAGCCGGTTATGAGAACCAATTTATTAAGCTTGTATATATGAATCATTAATTGATAACCTATCTAAAATTATATAAAAAGTATTTATAACAACTGTTACATAGAAGAACTCTGCAGTTAGCCAATAATATTTGGTTTTAGACACATATTTTATCGGGTAAGTTGTTATAAATAACAACTTATAAAATTAAATGCACTTAATTAATATTATTATCCCCCGGGTCAGTGGGAATATCTCTCAATGGACGTTTTGTGCCCTACATGCGCAGCTGAGATGTTTCAGTTATTTTCCCGACACGGTGAAAAAATGTGTTTCATATGACAATATGACAGGAACTTGTGTCACTAGTCATTTCTATCACATTCTTTGTCTTCATTCACGTTTTCGGAGAAATAACTGAAGCATGAACCGGAGAAATAATCTAAAAAAAAATAAAATTTGTAATAAAAATACACGCAAATCCCCGTCATGCAATTATGAGGCGGTGAACAAATAGTATTTATTGGCTAACATTGTGCCATGCTGACTCTGCAACTGTTGGGTACCAGCACTGTTTTTTAATATTACTGTGCCCGGAGCATGCAGAACCCTAAATACTGATCTGCGTAATTTAAACTATTGCATCGGAAATCGATATTCAATAAAAAATATGAACCGTCTTTTTATTAGAAAGACCTCTGATTTAATCGCAATTTATCGCATTTACTCAAAAAATAGATATTTTCAATATGTCGGTATTAGGAAAACTAAATGATGGTTTCTGGCAGCACATCCAAAAAGGTAAGTCATACTCAGTTTCATGAATATCATGTTACTCGAAAACTGAACCGTTACACATTTCTGCGCGCCTTTGTTTTTTGCTTTGTATGCTAATATTGTATTCAAATAATCAATAAGAAACAATGATCATTGGAATAGACCTTTGTTTCTGAATATATAAAATGAAACCTTTTTGCTAGATCCGTTCCATGCCTCGCTGTTAGCTTCGTGCAAAGAATTCAGGTTGGAAGTTAGCAGGACTAACTTAAACCTCTAATAAAATAATCTAATAAAATAACCCTAGATTTAAGTGCATATAAATCGTTTATTTGTATTATCACAAGCATTTATCTATCAAATTTCTCAAGAAAACCTGCAATAATCCCAACCTTGAGGGTGTGATGAGCAGACAACTCTCACCACCACAGTATAGGCACGTTAGAAACGAATCAACAGATTCAGTTGCAACTACAGCGTTTTCTATAGACAGCGAGGACAGTGACAACGGAAAAGGTAGTAATAAAAAGCCTTTTAAATTAGTAAACGCAAAAAAGCCCGATTATTATAAACGAAATAGGGTTAACAGTATCGTTCCTGAGTATTATTACGCAGACGATAACGGTATTCCAATTAATAACAAAATGAGAAATTCATCAAAAAATGATAAACGATCATGCTTTTCTAAATTTCAATTTTGGAAAAAGAATAGAAACGAAGAGATCCCACCTCCAGCCACAACAAAAGATAAAAAAAGGAGAAGAGGATGTAAAACATTTCTGTTGATTTTACTTATTTTGTTGTTTTTAGTAGTGTTAGGAAACCTTTTAGCGTTAGATATTTTAATTCCAAAATTACAACAAATGATTACACCAAGTCCTTCAGGAATAAATGGAATAAATAATACAGCACCGTCACAATTAGACCTGAGAATCAAAACGATTACGTGTTTAACTTTGTTTAGTGCGATCGGAAGTACGCAACCAAAACAATATCCATGTGAATTTTGCGCAGACGACCCAAATGCGTTTTATAACGTTACAACATTTTGTGTATTGAAAGGAATCTGGGCCAATACAGTTAATCAAACAGGTCTAGAGACTAATCTGAAATGGATGGGTGATAACAATTTCTGTCAATGGATTGGAGTAAAATGTGACTCTTCCAATAACATAATTTCATTGTATCCTTTTGCTTATAACATCTATGCTAGAATTGCCTTTTTCTTTTCACATATATATAACGTGATTATCTTTAATATGTAATCTTACCCGGGAACAGAGTACTTACGTCGCCAAATATTCCAAATACATTATCAAACGACATAGGAAAACTTACAACTCTCCAAAGCTTGTAAATATCTTTATGCGCCATATTTCACGATTATTTTATACATAACAATAAAAAGTTAAACCAATATTTCATTGTAATAGTACCATTAACGGAGGCACAACGATACCAAACGGACCAATTCCTACAAGTTTGTTCCAATTACCGAACATGAACACATTGACAATTACATCAACATCGCTTTCAGGGCCTATACCTGACACATTCGATAAAATGCCTGCTCTAAAGACATTGTAAGTGATATATATTTTATAATTCATTCATGATAATTTCAATTTTATGGTTAATTTATTTACAAATTTATTATTGTTATAGATCATTACAAAGTAATCCACAACTTGGTAAAACTATACCATCATCTATTGGATCAATTACTCTTAATAATCTAATAATTAACGGGCAGGGAATCTCAGGAACTGTTCCAGATTTTATTGGAAATAGTAAAATGCTGCAAAAATCTCTACAGACTTTGTACGTTTTTTGCTTTGTTTCAATCTATATTTTAGATAAAAAATTTCTCTATAATTAACACTATAAAAAAATTTATTTATTTATTTATTATTAGAGAGTTGAGTTCTAACGCATTAACTGGAACGATACCGGCGTCTTTAATGCAACTCTCTGCCTTAAAATCATTGTAAGTCACGATATTAATCTTTTATGCATTTATAGGTCACCATGATTACAAAAAAATAATCCGAAATTTTGGTAGTAATAGTATCCTAGATCTAGTAGTTGGGTAAAATAATAGCAAAATTCCTTTTTATTGACAGTAATTTTGCCATTATTCGGCGCAGCGATCTGCTAGTTTTAGTATGCTATTAGAGATTAATAATGCCTGACAAATGACGAAACCTTTCATAATCTACTTCTGATTCCATGACGAATAACGAAATCTAGCAATATCTATAGTGATTGATAAAGCATAAGATGATTATTTTCTAAACTTTTTAGCTTTTTATATATCCAACTTTTTTTATATGATTTGGCAGCTCGTTATCAATCATAAAAATGGCTAGACATGAAAATTTATAATGAGTAACTATAAGTTTCGTCAGACGAATAACTTCGTCATTGCAAAAATCGGTTCGTCAGACATTATTATGATATCATAAAATCGTATTCCTGAAAGTGCCAAAATTTTAAATTACTTTACGTATCAGTTGAAAAACACTGTAATTATAATTAGCATTAATAATATATAATTATCTGCCAATACAGAGTGTTGGGAATCAATCAATTATCGGGATCCATTCCTACAACCATTGGATCCGCCACATTTCAAAAAACCATAAATCAATTGGATTTTGGTAATAATACGCTAACGGGAACCATTCCTGATTCACTATCGCAACTGTCAAATTTGCAATTTTTGTATTTGGGCAATAATCAACTTAGTGGGCAGATTCCTACATCATTGACAACATTGACGAATTTGAAAGAATTATTCCTAAATAATAACAAATTGAGTGGAAATATTCCTGATGCTCTTGGAAATCTTACTTTAACAAGATTGTAAGTTTTTTTTTTAAAAAAAAAATTATGCATAAATTTAGAACTATTTTAGCAACTTTAAAAAAATCAAGATTAATAATAATTATTTCTTTTTTTAGATTACTTTCTGGAAATACGTTAACGGGAACGGTTCCTAACAGTATATGCCAGAAATCATTCATAACATGTGATTTGACCCTCAATAATTTAACTGCATCTACAACAAACTGTACTTGCAATGTTTAGAATCTTTTAATATAATAAGTTAATTTATTTTAAGTGTTCCATAATTTAAATTTATTTTTGACCTACATATAATGTATGTATATATGCAATAGCTGTAATTTTTTTTAATAAAATTATATTATAAATGAAAAATACATATCGTTACGAAATCAAGTTAGTGTTTTTGGTTAGACTGCTCTTCAGGGTCCGACAAAATTTTATCGGAGGTTAAGTTGACTTCCGGCGTAGTTTTAAACCGGCCGGAAATTTTATAATATTACAGCTGTTATTATTTTTGGGACATTTGGTAAAAAATTGACCGAATGATTATTTGGCCGATAAGTTTTTGTTTCGGCAGTGATAAATTCTTGATTTGGACGTGATTAGTAATATAGCGATAATTGATATATATTTTTTTGCGATTATATTCTGAATAGGGTTGGAGGAACGGCAAATTTTTGGGGCATGCCCTTTCTAGATATAAAGTATATACTATGAGAATCTGATTGGTTAATCACTAAATCAGCTATAGATCACATGATAGGGCATGCCTTTTGGTTAAAGGGCATGCCTCCAACCCTAATTCTGAACGATACTACAATGTCAACACATCCAAAATTAATTTTTCGCTTGAATGTGTTTAGTCTGTACGAAAATTTATGACGAAGATTGTTCTTGTCAAGCAACAGACTTGACAAAAAACAAAATGGGTTCTGAATATAAGAATATAAATTATAATGAATTTTTAAAATATAGACCAAAAAGCAAATCAGTATGAATCAGATGAAAAAATATTGAAACGGTTGATCTAACAACTAAGGAACCTTTAGCTTGTTCGTCTATAGTAAAAATTTTAAAAATGCCTAGTTTATCTGAAATAATTGCTATTGAATTTGAAATATCCAACTTGTCTAAAGTAGCGCAAAAATAGTGATATTATCTCTAAGAACATCACTCATGCAGGTTGACGAGGGTCAACAGATCGAAAAGAAAGGATCTGGTCACGGTTACACGCCACGTGCTACAACCACAACCCCGATCAATTATGGGTCAGGAGGCATGGGGCATGGGTCGGGATCAAGAATCAATCAATTAGCGAAATTGCATGAATTATACGCTGTCAGAGATACGTAAGAGGAAAGCCACTGATCGGAGTCAATCAGTATATAAGGAATTGACGACGAAGAATCGTATCCAACACTCTTTCCCCTTCAACAAAATAGTCTCTGGCGACAAAATTTTTTCTCGACCCAACCTCTCCCACCACACTCATGGTCGGAACAGTCTCCTGATTCTGCCATTTTCCTATTTAACAGCCGGCCTGCTTCGAGCAGGCGGGAAACCACCGGCTGATGCTGCCTCTCGCTCGTTCTACTGTTACGATGATACCTGGCGCAATCTCACTTGCTAATTTTCTAGGAACATATCATCGTTTCAGTTCAAATTACTTAGCCAAATTACTCATATTGTATTCTGCGGACTTCAAGTCCTTTATTTGAATTTAATTGAATTTATTCCCGGCTCCTTTTACTAGCCGGCATTCTTCCAATCATTTGACCAGTCGTGCCTATGCTTTTCGTTACCGAAATCAAAAACTTATCGAATAAGCCAACTAATCATTCGGTCAATTTTTACCAGATGTCCCAAAATTATTGAAAACAGCTGTAAATATATTGCAGGAGATTCTAAATTTCGGTTACCGAAAAAAAAAAGCAGGTTGCATCACCCGGAAATTTTGTGCCTGGTCCGATGACCGAATCGATAAGCCAACCTAGTATCGCCCATAAAAAAATGTAGCTGATGTCATCATTGATGCATGAAATTTGAGTTCCGATAATTCAGCGAAATTTTTTTTTTTTATGCGATGATAATTTATATGCACTTAGCGATGATAATTTATTTAAGAAACTTATCGATTCGGCCAACAGAAATAATGATAATAGCTGTAAATTTCTCTAACGTGAAATATTTCATGCGAAATACAGTCAACTCTTGCTAAACTGAACTTATATATACCGAACTCTGGTTATCTCGAACAAAAAAGGTAAGAACATTTACAGCTGCTTGTTTCCCGAAACCCTTCGGTTTTGTCTTATGAATCATCTAACTTTTCGGAATAGTAGACGTAGTTTCCGAAGATTTAGATTGTTCATGGATAAACCGGATCCGAACAAGATACAGGCAGTACATTTGATCTAATTTATAAATTAATCTTTTTTCGCTTAGTGCAAATGTGAAATGCATTTAACATTCCTTTTAGAGATAACGTTAGATTCTTTTTTTCGCGATATTGTAATGCGAAAAAAGAAGGTTATTTACTTTCTGATAAAGTAAAAAGTTAATGCCGCAAGAGTGCTAACTTTAAATATCAATGAAATCAGCTTGGGCGAGGGAAAAGGCCCTGACAGAGTATTTTACAGTATATTATCTTACTTCTAATCTTTAAATTGGCTCAAGTAAAAAAAAAAACTTGGTGACAGAAAGTATATCACATGTCTAGCATATGATTGGCCAATTTTATATACCGAATGGCTTGTTCGGTTTAGAGAGAGTTATTCCGAGTGTTCTTATTAGAACTATTGTATTTAGAATAATGCTGATACGCGAGATTTAATACAGCTCACTCTCGTTATAGTGAAGATTCAATATAGTAAAGAAAATTTGAATTTCAGAACATTTTAAACTTTAACTCGATATAGTGAAGTACATATAGTATTCTCTCGTTATAGTGAAGTCCCCGGGCTGAGGAAAAAAATCTTCACTATAGCGTATCGAGAGAATACTATACCCGGGTGGGTGAAAAGTAACTATATAGACAGTGACCTTTTTTTAATCACTATGATTATGCAATTATTGCAATGAATTAAGAATTAAAAATTATAATAATAATTTTTAATTTATTGCAATACCGATACTGTAATTACTAAACGTTAAATGATAATCATAATGATTAAAAAAAGGTCACTGTCTATGTACTTCACTATATCGAGATGAAGTTTATTCTGGAATTCAAAAATTCTTCACTATATATTGAACCTTCACTATAACGAGAGAGCTATAGTGAAGATTTAGCCCGGGGATTTCACTATAACGAGAGTAAGTGTAATGAAAATCTTCCCAAATTTTTCGGTCGATCAGTTAGTTTTAGTGGTTAGTTTTATTCAGCCAAGATTTTGTACCAGCCGTGACAATAAAAAAAGAAGATCGAGAAGTGAGTGAAATCAGCATATACAGTAAATACCACGTTGTTTTATTGCTTGAATGTATCAAGACAATGCATCTACGTACCAATCAAATTATTCTATACATTATTTGCAAAGTTTTTAGGTATGTGCATACTGCAAACGAGTGATTAATTTGTTCGAGATTCTTATCGACCCATTTCGTAGAATAATGTCGTGTAACTCCAGAATTAATATTCTCATGTGATACTATATCAATATGACGTTTGATGTTGATACGTATAAATACTTTGCAATTCATCATCTTTATCAAATATTTTAACCATTTCACAATGAGTTTACTTGGGATCGACCTTACGGCCCCGGGTACACCGTATAAAGAATTCGTACTTATTTTTTCTTGGGCAGTTTATATTTTTGAGCAATATTTGAGGTAATTTCTTTTTCAACTGATTATGGTTATGTGGTTACGTTTTTTTGGGTTCGCCCTAAATTTCCCATTTTGTTTTAAGTATTCGACAGTATTATAAGATTAAAGAACCAAATCCGCCAAAATCCTTACAAGATATTGAAGATGTTCGCGAAAATTTCAAAAAAACTCAGGCTTATGGTTTAGATAAAGCTAAATATGGCTTCGTATCGGCTTTATATGGGCAGTTACAAAGCACAGTTATAATTGTGTGGGATATTCTTCCTTTACTTTGGGATCTTTCTGGAAAGTGGTTGGAACATGCTGGGTACGGGACGGATTATGAGGTTTTTTTTTTGTTTAATCCTTCCTATGTTTTTATTTTAGTTGCGAATGCTACGAGTTTCTCATCATCATTTTTTTTTATCCCCTTTAGATAGTACAATCCTTGATTTTTACTGTCAATATGACCCTCATGTCATATTTATTATCTCTTCCTTTAAGTCTTTATTACACTTTCGTAATAGAGGAACGTCATGGTTTCAATAAAATGACTTTGGGTCTGTTTTTCATGGATACGCTAAAAGGATTTTTGATCGCTGGAGTCATTGGACTTCCAATCCTAGCTTTAGTTTTGCAGATTATTAGGTGGACCGGTGATAACTTTTATTTTTACGTCTGGGTTTTCATGTAAGTTTTTTTTTCAACTTTTGTTAATAGCTTAATGTATTGCAAAGCTGATTTATATATTTCAATAGGATAATTTTTAACTTGGTATTGCTTACTATTTATCCTACGCTCATTCAACCCCTTTTTAACAAAGTTGAACCACTTAAAGAAGGTGAACTTCGTCAGCGAATCGAAGAATTGGCTTCCCGTATCGAATTTCCACTTAAAAAATTATACGTTATTGATGGTAGCAAGAGATCTAGTCACTCTAATGCTTATTTTTACGGATTTTTTAAAAATAAACGAATTGTACTTTATGATACTTTAATCGAGCAAGCTGATACTGGTGAAATTTTGGCTATTGTTGGTAAGAATGATTTCCTCATAAAAATAATAGTATGATTTTATCAGTATAAACTCATACTTGCAATTTTAGGTCATGAATTGGGCCATTGGTATCTTAATCATACTGTTAAGGTGCTTGTGATCTCGCAAATTCACAACCTTTTCCTCTTTTATGTATTTTCCCAATTTATACATAATTCTGAGCTATATCGCTCATTCGGATTTGCTACCCGTCCAACTTTAATCGGATTTTTATTATTTCAATTCATCTATTCCCCTATTGAGAATGTATTTTCATTCTTGATGAACATCAAGAGCCGACAGCATGAATTTGAAGCCGGTAAGTTTGTATAACATGCTAAATTCATATGGCTTTTTAATTTACAATCACTTTTTTCTTTCTTTAGATGCTTATTCAAAAAAATTGGGCTATGGAGCGCAACTTCGTTCAGGTCTTATAAAAATTCAACTTAAAAATTTGGGTAATTTAAATAATGATAAATGGTACTCTGCATACCATTATTCACATCCGCCTCTTCCAGAGAGACTAAGTGCTTTGGAAAAAATTGATTAATTTGGAGGGCAAAAAAAGGTTTAAATATTTCTAGGATTTTAGTAGAATTACAGTTAAAAAAAATTTTTTTTTATTGTATACATATATATAGTGGTAATCATTGTGATTTTAAAAAAAGTATCCAAAAAAAACCAAAACAACAAAGCTATATTTTACATGTTTTTTTTTTTTAAAGAACGCCCTTTGTGCTTGGGATTTCATTTGATCCAGTTCGCTGAATGGCTTGCTTTATAGCTATTGCAAGGGCTTTAAAAGCTGACTCAGCTCTTGGAAAACGAATTCATTGATTAGTCAATGAATTCATTCAATTGCATTACAATATAAAAAGTAATTTGCATACCTATGATGATCATTCTTTCCTTTGATTACGTCTACATGCAATGTAATTCCAGCAGAGGTGGCAAAAGAAGAGAGTACATGAGGTAACATCTCCGTAGAGAGTTCGCCAATCTTTTCTCGTTTTAGGTCTAGGTTAATGTCAGCATATGGTCTTCCTGAAATATCAATAACAGCGCGTGATAATGCCTTTATAACAACAAATTTTATTATTAAAGCATAATAATTAAAATCAATTTTTCACTTTGTGACTTATTACATTATTATATAATAAAAGTTTATCACCTCATCCAATGGTGCATACGCATATCCAAATCTTTTTATGCCTCTAGGTTCTCCTAGTGCCTGCTTGAATGCAAGTCCTAAGGCAATTGCAGTATCTTCTGCTGAATGATGGTCATCAATATGCAAGTCACCTTTACATTTTAAAGTAAGTGACCAGCCAGAATGTTTTGCAAGGGCATGATACATCTATTCCCATGTAAAAAAATTATACATTGAATAAATTTTTAAAAAAATAAGCTTATATAAAAATATATTATTTAACTGAATAATTTTTATATAAATTATACATGATTCAAGAATCCAATGCCAGAATCAATATCAATTGTTTGACTCTCAATGGAGTCCAAGCGCAAGTTAATGCTAATATCTGTTTCATTTGTTTTTCGAGTTATTGTAGAACTTCGCGTATCAGACATTGTTAAATTTAAAAAAAAAGTTTAAACGATTTGTGATTCATAAATGGCTTAAAATTATCGAGAAACGTGATACAGTAACGCGGATACGTGTAATATCGATATCATGCATGCTACACATTTATCGCAGAATTAGGAAAAATTACTCGGAGCAGATCTTAGTATTAGGGTTGCTCAGCCCGAACCGAAACATGAATATTATCATGTGATAAAGAATTAAAGATGCGATCCTATCAGAATAACTATGCGATAGAATATGGTTATAAGGTGAAATTTATCTGATTTGCTAGTATCTAATATTGTTTTTTTGCGCAAAAGAATCTTGAAAGTATAGTTGTTAGGCGAAACCATTTATGTAAATGGCGAGGATGAAGCCAATCTAAAAAAGACGAAAGGTGCAGCCTTCTAATGAAATGATAAAATCCTAGCGAAACTGCAAAACCTAGACGTAAAAATAAAAGTTATCACCGGTCCACCTAATAATCTGCAAAACT